TTGTTGGGTAGTACCTTTAATCTGGCAAAGTTTCATCCAAAAAGGAGAGATGGCATGTATCACCCCTGCCTGGTCCTCTGGTAAACTCGGTCTTAAAATGGACGAAACTCAAGATAAAATACTACTATAAATTTAAAACCATCTTGACAAACGGTCATTGTAAGTTATTTTTGGGCAAAACACAAACATGAAACACACACACTGCTAAAAGTTATGTCTGATCAAGTTTTTGTCCGCTCATATTCTGCAAAGGGGAAATGGCCTAGTTAACTACCAAGGGAGAGAACAGCAGGGTCGAGGACCTGTGTGACTACTGCATCAGAGCCATAAATTACACTCTGCACTATCTGAGATTGTCTCACTAGTTTCCTGTTTTGTTTTGTTTTGTTTTTCTCTACCTTTCTTTGTGGTTTTGTTGGTATTTCGGTCACCTTTGTTCCCACTAAAAGTTTTTCACTGCAACATCATGGAAAGTGGTTATTTGCAATTTAAAGTGCTGTTGATAGGAACAGTCAGGTTTTTCTTCAACTGGCATGGCATGTTTTGTGGAAGTTTTTCCTACTCATATCAAAAATATCTTTGGCTTTAACATATATGTGGTACGAGGAGTATGCTCACTCAGGCATTCAATCCTTATTAAAACATGTTATAATAAAGTTTCTGTATAACGCGTGCCCTGATTGGCTGAAACAGCGTACTTTGTCAGAGAACAGAGCACGGGTTGATGACAGTAAGCTGGCTTTCAAATTTTTGCTTCGGAATTTTGACAAATTTGGCCCAAATTAAACATCCCCTGTGATTCAGACAAACGCAATGGAAACAAACTCTGTCTACAGTAAATATGGCTCATGGAGACCATTGTTAGCAACAGTAGTGTGAAAACTGTACTAAAATGACAAGTTTTGCCGGATTCCCTCCGACAAAACATGTAGCGAAATAAACAAATTCTCAAACTAACCAGTTCTTCGATAAAAGACATTATATCTGTTACGAAGGCGGAAATTATACTTAAGAAGTAAAACAACGACAGAAAACAACAATTGAGCTGTCTCTGCTTATGATGAGAAGCTTTATTTTCGTAAAAATGCTCAATTGCTTAAAACAACACTTAAATGCAGTGTAGTAACGCTCGCTTGTTCTCTGGTCTTCTCAGCGAAGTGAACTGACGTGCGGTCAGCTCAAAGCTTGCTCTAGATATTCTCCTCTGTGGTCCGAGTAGAACCAGTGGGAGCAGTTTAGTCTGTCTAACTTTTACGCTAGTTCAGGCAATCTTGCTGCAAGCCGAAAGCTTAAATAACTGTAGCTCCTTTCAAATTCAACTCAGCATTTTGCATTTTTATCTGCAAGCTTTGAGCTCCTGGCTCCGTGATTTCCATTGGAAAAGTGCACGGTTTCATGAGCCACAATATGGCCGGATTCCTATGGACTACAAACCTTTGCCTGCCTTTAGATTCTTATTTGACAATTAACTAAAAAGCAAACTTTGAAGGCATCGTTCTTCTCTCGAAAGGCACTCAAAACCACTCAAAACTGAAAGCTTAGCTGAAGTCCAGTTTGTAATTGACAGCTGTCACTTTGTTAGCCAATCAAATTATTTGAACAATTCTAACAAGGATTGTGATTGGCTTATTTTAGCATGCTTTATCAGAGAACAGAGCAAGGCTGACGCCACTTTTACTCGTTTGGAAAATAAAGTTTGGTTTGAAAATTCAGCCGAATGTGCAGGGAAAGTATCGGATTCTTTATCATAAAACAAAGAAGCCTCAACTGCGCTCTGTTCTGTTGTAAAGCACTTAGGAAGCGGTAGAGCACTCAAGAAGTGGGGAAAAACACTCGACTTCGTCTTGTGTTTTCCCCTACACTTCTTTTGTGCTCTACCGCTTCCTGCATGCTTTACAACAGAACAGAGCACAGTCAAGGCTTCTTTATTTGTTAATTAGAAGAAATTTGGATATCACAAGTCCCGCCCAAAAAGAACATGTATAGTCTAGTTGAGGGGGGAACTACATGATAAGCACCAAAAGTAAAACTCCATAAAATTAACTGCACTAACATTATTACAAATGCAAGTCAAATATAACAAGAATAAGTCAATATAATGTATAAAGTAGTGTTCAATTGAAGAATGGGTCAAAATTGTGTTATTTACAATGGTAATTAATTAATGTGAAGGGTTTTACTTTCGTTCCATAAATCCTGCTGTAATTTTGGTAGTAATCAGTTTTATTTTACGTTGGCTCTACGATCATAGCTATTTACAAGGCTAGTGTTGATCAGCACGAGTGTCAATGGGCATCACTGGGCTAAAGGTATCATCATTAGCTTTCAACATTGTGGAAAGCTGTTATATTTTGTGGTAATGAGCATAAACTTTCATTTTATGAAAGCTAACTAGTTCAATTAGACAAAGGCTATTTTTTTTTTATTAGGCTGAAACAAGTCAACCAATAGCCCAAACTTCAAACCAAAACCTGTCTCCCCTCCAACCCCAGATAGCAGTGAATTCAGCTCTTCAACCACAAGCCAGTGCACTATCTGGTCTACAGCCTCAACCAGCCCAGCCAGCAATACTACCAAATCAGTTTATGCTTGGAGGAATGCAAGGACCGTTGTTGAATTCTCAACTTTTAGTTCAATCTCAAACAAGTCAACAGCCAGCACTGATAAAATCACAAGCCATGACACCTTCCAAGCCACTGATGGCTGGAAAGTCATCCTCGGCAATGATGGCAGACTGTACTCCATTGCATCAGGTAAGTACAGCTGAAATTAATGATGATATTGATAAATGTTAAGAAACAGCGATTGTAGTGAATAAATGGCTGACAGTGACTCTTGTATCATCTAACTTCACTCTAAATGCCAAAGTGGCATCACAATATTTTTCTATAGGTCTGCTCTGTGGGTGTATGGTTGTAAGTTGGTGCTGTTAGAATACAGTCTGAACAATACGTGAGCTACAATCCTGGTCAAAACTCTTGGGACACTTTGCATTTTTGCCAGCATATGATCTTTCTGTCCACCTCCCCCTCCCCACCCCCAACACAATGTTGATGTTGATTCGTCCGAAGTAGACCCACTATTCCAACATTGTTTTAGGGGGAAAGGGTTCGGCAAAGTAAATAACGACTTCCCACTTCAAAATAATGCGTCACCATTTGTCGTTTTGTCAAGTGTTCCAAGGTTTTGGCCAGGATTGTAGAATAAAAAGTTCTATAAGAAGTTTCTTCAGCACCAAGGCAAATGAGTCCTTATAACCATACTTGGCATGCCATTGACTGGAACTGTGAGATTCCCTTGGGTTTACTGCTTTTTCATATGACTTCTGCATGTTGTTTGATTCAACATGAAGCATCATTGAAAACGTTTGTTGCTATTGTGAAAAATAGGGTCCATGACCTATCAGCAGATATAAAATACTTGATAACTTAACTTTTGGTGGTAGATCAGTTGTCTTTAGGTGAGCGTTTCACTTTCCATTGTTTCGTCTTTCTCATTTTGGTTTGCTAAGTTCTTGTGCTCATCTTTCTTTCTATGTAATTCTCTTATCACTGTTTGTGTCATATGCGTTTCGTGCAGGTATGCACTCATAATTTGAGAACATATTAGTTCTGTACAACCAGTATGGAAGACATACAAAGCCACTATTTGTTGATTTGCTAAGTTGTAGCTGATCAAAATAACCAATTAAATTATTTACACAGGGCATTTTTTCATGTAAAAACAATTGGTTTTTGGGAAGTGACAGACCAAGGGGAAAGAAACTGATAGTGTGCATCACTCCGTAACAAGCCCACAAATTCAAAGTAACTGATCATGTGCAAACTGCACCAACACGTCATGAAAACCGGAACAAAAATACTTAAGAGAGTACAGAACAGTACAGGAAATAACACAGAACATGCTGACTATTGCTGTCAAGGAATTGCTTGTATCCAGTTCACTAAGTGGGCCACGCCATGCATCCCTATCTCGAGAGGCATTAACATTACTCGGCCAACCATCCCTTCGAAAGGTGATCGCTGTCCTAGTGAAGATTTATACTTTGTACAACACAAAAAGGCCAAGATATCTTTTCAGTGATTTCCATGTGCCGAAGAATAGACATGTATTGCTAAGTAGTTGAAAACATAGGAATAGTAGGTAAAAACTCTTACTTGTATGTGGTCAAAGCACAGCAGAAAAGAAATGCAAGGACTCATGAGTCTTCAGAGACATTCTTGTGCAGTTTGTAATGGCTGTTATTTTAGAGAAAAAACTGACATCTTCCTACACGTGTTTGTGAAAATTTAACAACTGAAAAGAATTACCTAGAAAAGCCTACAATGGACGATCACAAAATATTTTTCAATGTCCCCAAAAAACAAAATTGATTTTTTTTTTTTTGGAAGTCATTGTTGAAGAGTTTGTAAAATCTTACATAAACTATTACAAATCTTAAAACAATTGTTGGCTCCCCAAGTAATTTTTCACAAATCCGAAAGTATTTCACAAATCCAAGAATCATCAAGTCTAGAAAAAGTATTTTTCAAACCTATGTTCTGCTACAAGTGTGGAAGAGAATTTAGGAATTATGAGATTTTCTGTATACGGTGTGGTTCACTAAAGAAACCCAAACAGGATTGTGCAGTTGTGCAGTCTAGAGATTCGCTGTTATAATAGAAAATTACATTAATTTTGAAAGTGGATTGCAAAGTTATTCACTTTCTGGCAGAATACCATCAGATTTCTGTTAAGGCGAGGACTCTGAAGGGAAGGCTAAGTCAGTATGAGTTGCACAGAAGAAATCAAGTTCATCCAGAGGGCACTTTCTGGGAATTAAGTAGATGTGAAATTGAGGGCCCTTCATAACTTCTTGGATATCGCAGTTGGTGACATGTCATCCGTATCCCCCCTTCCCAAGGGGGGATCAGATCAATCTTCAAGTATGGTTTTGCCGTTCTTGTTTCTTTTTAGCTACAGTGAAAAGTTTGTCCTAGTTGGGTACAGTCGAACCTCGATTATCTGGACTTTTTCTCTAGTCCTGATTTTGTCATGAATATTTATTAGTCACGATCAAGATCCATAGCAATATTCTTTTTAGAACTATAGTATCGAAAAGTGCAGTCAAAAGTGAGTTTGTTTTGCTTTTGGAGAGCAAAAGCAGCACTCGCGCGCGTCGTAACTAATGAAGAACACTCAAATGAGTTCTGATTGACTCAGAGTTGAGTGGTTCAAGATGTACAGTAGACCATATCATTTTCCAAACGATTTGGAAACGTGTTGTTTCACAATTAAATGTAGCCTGCGTCGCAGACAGTCTAAACTGCCAGGGATTTTGTGACACGTCCGGCTGCAACGCATTCTAGATTAAATGTTGCTTTATTTAAACAGTTTTGTTCTTCCTTAATATTCATATTTTCGATTATCTGGACCCTCGATTATCCAGACTATTTCATCTAGTCCCAACAAGTCCAGATAATCGAGGTTTGACTGTACTTAAGCAGCTGTTTTCATGATCTGGATAGTAAAATGGAGTCCTCTTCTCCATTTATAATTTGGCCTTGATCAGGCTCTGGTTGTTCAAAGGCTGGATAATTATATTCAATCATTGCGTCGCACATGGCAGCACCAAACTTGCATACGTAGTTTGGACCAATCCGTTATTTTGTCTAGGATGTGGAATGTAAGCATTTAATCTTTCCTATTTCCTTCCAGAAGTCAGCTAAATCAACAACATGGTCCAACAGTCCAGTTGACATTAGTCTTGACAATTTAAGTCCAATGAGCCATAGGGACAAACCTGCACAACCAAGCATGAATGAGTTGTACTCGAATCAGCAGCAAATGCCTTCAGCTACAATGGCTCTCTATGGTATGCCACAGCAGAGTATGTATGCTATGGGAGGGGCTCCACCAATGAACTCAAGTGTCCCCATGATGGGTGTGGCACCACAGATAAACATGCTCAGGGCAAATATGAATCAGATGACTGTGTCGTCTAACATACCCATGATGCAGATGACAAACAGAGGAATGGGAATGATGCAGCCCCAACCATTGGGACAAATGCAAGGCTTTAGTAGTAGTGGTTATTCAACATACAAGGGTGTGAGTTGATGTTTATGGCAATAGACAGTGTGAACACTTGTTACTGAGCTACTGCATCGGTGTGCTGGAAGCATTTGGCTTAATTCCCACCAAGTGAGAATCTAGCAACAATAATACAAAAATTATAATACAAGTGGATGATACAATCGAATCAAAATTCATATTGGCTGGCCCAAAAAATATGCTTAAAGACTTTCTGTAATGTGGCAAAAATGGGGATTAAAGTGGTATTGAAAATAGGTTCAACTGGCACACAAAATAAACTTGTTTTGGAGGTTGTCTGTCAGAGGTCTCTCTTAAACACAGGGCAAACCTATAGAAGGGAAGGAGACAACATTTCCAGTTGTTGGCTTCAATCCAACACAGATGGCAGAAGAAATGATGATTGCCATAAGATTTAATAGTGCAGTAGAGAATATTGTTTGCTTGATTTGTAAGACCTGGTTTGGCAAAACACTAGAATTTTTTTTTATTTTGATTTTAGGGGTTTCAAAGATGAGCGACCTAAACCTTAAAATTCAGAATCCTCAGTCAGCCAAAAGTCGGCTAATGCTAATAAAATATTCTAAAAAAGCAACAACCAAATCCTGCCATAGTCCAGTTTTTTAGTTAACCGAAAGTGCTGAACAAAAAGTGTTAAGACTCAAATTGCTAACAAAATATCGGCACGAATGTAATGAAGCGTGAGACGAAACACTGCAGAGTTTTCCATAGTTCATGTTCTCACGGGTGTTTGCAAATATTTTACTTCAGATCGAGACCAACCTCGTACAGATGCGTCTTCAATCATTTTGTTCAGCAGTCTTGGTTAACTCGAAAGTAGACTATAATGATTTCATAATCTAAATCTAAATGTGTTTGTTCATCGAGAATGAGGCACAAAGTCAGGCGTGTTGACAAACTACTTTTATGACCATTTTCACTCTAGAAAGCGGACAAATCGTCTGTACGGACGAGTCCTCCCACGATTTGTTCGTTTAATGTGAATTCCAGATGGACAACTCACCTTGTGTTGGTCATCTTAATTTGCAAGGGGCAAGACACTTACAGGCTTGGTTAGCTGCACTTTCCACCCGCCTTTTTTGATTTCCCCATAAGCTAGCACTCGTCTCTATTTGCTAGTTCCATTCTCCATGAATATTTCAGCGACCAAAATGCAATCATTTCTTCACACAACTTTTGTGACAAAAATTTTGTTCGTCCCATTTTCTTCCATTTGAGACGATTTGTCCATATCTAAAGTGAAAACAGCTGATGTCTTGACTGTCATGAAACGATTTTCTTCTGTTGTCTTGAATAATAAAATCGAAACGCTTGAGCAAAATACACTGGCTGGCAAATAGTACAGAAATCGACATGGTGAAATTAAGGGTGCGTTTCTTTAAGAAAATCCAAGATTGGATTCTTAATCCGAAAGAATCCGAAAGCGGATTTTGCGTTTCTTTACTAAACAGATCAATCCAAGATCTCTTCGATCATGGTGCATCAAAGGAACCGAAGAATCCACTCTGGGCAAGGATTGATCTGTTAAGTAAAGAAACGCAAAATCCGTTTTCGGATTCTTTCGGATTTAAGAATCCAATCTTGGATTTTCTTAAAGAAACGCAACCTAAGTTCTGTGAAATCTTTGTTTATTCATTTTTTTCCATCATCCTTCGGTAAGCACATTTGAGTTTTTGTTGCTCTTTGAGAGGTGGGATCATTATCAGCTTTTCTCGAGCGATGCGAACCAATGAGGAGTTCCTATTGCAGGCTAATATCCTCAATCTGGATATTTGGTCTGGCTTCTTGATTTAGCTAGGATCTCGACAGTGGTTTTCAAAGTTTGTTGTACTTATATACGATAACCTAGAGCCAGTCATTTAACACATGTAATGACCCTTGCAAAGTCGTTTTAATGTGTAAATGCTACTTGATGCCAAGGCTGAGGTTTAAAGGAATGCTTGTGACAAGCCTTGCCATCAAGGCAAATTTGATTTAAAATGGTGCCGTTATAGCTCAGGGTTTCATACCGTATCGAGTGATTACGGAACAGCTTGAAAAATAAAGTCATGCTGGTTAATTGAAACCAAATTTTTTAACATTTTTGTAGGCATCGTCAATTTGATTTTGAACTTTGTCATGAATATAGAGTTATATAGTTAAACTATTCAAGTAAGTGTATTGATGTTGAAGTCCCGAGTGCTTCAAAATCAGTCTATTTCAGTGTATTAAGTTCAACTTGATTTTTGTATATTCCATTTTAGTGACCGTTGTCCAGGATGTTGATGTTAATTTTCATCTCTTTGAACTTTGTTATTTCATTTAGAAGCATAAACAATGTGTAACGGCTATTAAATGGAGTGGTTACGCACAGTCCGAGAATCTTCGGTTGTCTGACACTTGCGTGAATCGATAGAACTGCTTAAACATATTGGTTTGAATAGGCCACGTTCGATATATCAATATTCTAACATGACTCCGAGGCTTTTGGGTCAAAATTGTAACATTTTTCAGTTTCTTGTCTCTCAATTCCCAAAAGAGACTTGGATACCAAGAAAACAACGCCAAATACGGAAGTTTGTCCTGAAAGCCTCGGAGCCATGTTAGAATATTGATCTATCGAACGTGACCTATTGTAGAGCCCAATCTAAATTCAGGAAATTTATTCCAGTATTTATACTAGTACGATTTAGGTGCAATTATACATTGACGCCAGCATTTTATTTTAGATGGTACAGGCAATGCTGTCGTGTGAGATTATTGCAAATTTTCTCATGATTTTAAAGGAGGACTTGTGACTTTAAGTCATATCTGTTTTATTTCTATGCATCCAAAAAAGGCTAGATTAAGCCAATTGTCGCTTACCATGACCTGTTTCACGGAGTGTCAGACTTTCCAGTTTGGTGATGCGAACAGTACTAATTTTCTAGCAGCGATAACTATGTTTTCTATCAATAGGAATTCAAACTTCTCGGCCATTACAATGATAGAGTTTTGCCCAATGCAAGCATGTATGTATGCATGATCCATTTGCACAGATTTTAAGTATGCCGTTTTAACTGAGTCTTGGTATCCACACCAATATGTTCTTATGGTGACAATCCCAACACCTGTTACGTGTCTGTATAGTTCACAATAGGTATTTTCTCTTTTTTAATTCTACTCAAACTGCTATCACTATAATGTAGTATGACTACATATATTTACAATAAAAGTGCGAAGGGCCTTGATAGACCAGAGAGTTGTCGACAGCTATCAGTGCGTGATAAAGTTTTTTTTGCACTTGAGGCCAAAGAAAAATAAACTTGTGCAAGAGCTTGCTAAACTTACATTTGCTGTGCATGTCAGATGTTTCTCCGCTGGCAACAATCTCTGATAAGGACTTTTTTTAACGGCTGTCCCACAAACAGGAATAATGAGATAACATCAACTGTTGTTCTTAACATCTAAGGAAAGTTTTCCCTTTTGCAGAGGAAAAGTAAATTGTTGCTCCTAACTATTGTTTGCAGTTTGCTGTTAATAATTTGTTTCCCACACTGTCTTGTGTTATTCATGACTAAAGGTTGTCGACAACTTTAGTTTGCCAGGGCCTTAACATTACAATGACCCTGAACAGCAGCTGGGGAAGCAAATACCTGTTAATATGCATGTCCAGAGAATGAATGTCGAATCATGATGTGCCCGGTACACACGTTTCCCCTGAGTTATCGTTCAATTTTACAAAAATTTTATATAACAACACTGTAAATAAAAACTACCATACGAAACTATAGGAAAGTCAAATTAACACTAACAAGAGAAAGCAATCTTGTTTGATGATAATGTAAAGTACCAGGGAAATTTTATCTATTTTTATTTTGCAGAATTAAAGATTTGTTTGAACCGGTATTAGCATTAAGTTGTAGTAAGACTTACCAAATTCCCCCTTTTTATTAACTCGTGAATTGCGCATGCGCAACACGAGTTATCGTGAGTTGTGGGAAAATGTGTCGCTCGCGCGATGGGCTGTAAACATTATGCAAATGAGGTACGCTCGCGGCTTACTTTTAAATTGCTGTTCATCTGTGATTAAAATAAGCTGTTTAAAAGGCCGAAATGGGAAGATATTAGTTAAAGAAGACTCGGCCACCGAAAATGAGAACATCGAGGATCGTAAAATCGATGAGCAGCACAAGTTCTCACTGGATGCGGACTTCGTATGGATTTTGCAGAAACCGAAGTCGTTGAAGTACGGTCACGGTATGGTAAATGCGCATATAGCGAGCGAAATGATATAAACACAGAGCATTTATTTATTGTAT